AATGTATGCTTCTTTATGCACCTTGTGTCCATCGCTTGTCAGGAGACAGGTCCATCACCGACCCTCTGGACTATATGTGTGAAAGGGTTATTATGGTACATGCCCAGATCACCTAATTTGGAAACAGTCACATGAGTGATGTTTCGGGCCTGCTCCTATGAGACAGGACTGGTGTGGCTAGACATTCTGCATTGGCTTACCACATGAGTTTACTGGACAGGGCTGGCTGGCAGCCAGTTGCCTCTTTCCATTGGCTCCATAGTAGAACTAACAGTATCATCTAGCTGCTGGGGCACAGTTGCTGTCTTTCCAGTGGTGATCAGGAGTGAAGGGCTCATTTGCTCACCAGGAAGGAGCACCATTCAGTAAGCTGGATGGGGAACAACCACCTTCTTGTTCCCTTTGGGCCCCTTGGCCCTGAGAATTAGATTCGAGGGCTTGGGGTTTTTTTTGGGGGGGGCGTTTTGTTTTGTTTCACAATTCTAAGTGCAAGGAATGCCCCTGACCCAGGGGCTTGAGCCATAAGAACCTTGGAGTCCAGGATGCCAAGCTGGATGTTGCAGCCAGCCAGCCCTGTCCAGTAAAGTCCTGAAAATCTACTAAAAACCTAGTTGAAATAATTAACAACTTTAACAAAGTTGCAGGCTATAAAATAAACCCACATAAATCGTCAGCATTTCTATATATTACCACAAAAGTCCAGCAGCAAGAGATAAAAAGAGAAATTCCATTTAAAATAACCATAGACAATATAAAATACTTGGATACCTACCTGCCAAGACAAATCTAGGAACTATATGAAAGCAATTACCAAACACTTTTCACACAAATAAAGTTGGATCTAAGCAACTGGAAAAATGTCAATTGCTCACAAGTAGGCCAAGCCAATATAATAAAATTACAATTCTACCTAAATTAATTACTTATTCAGTGCCATACCAATAAAACTACCAAAAAATTATTTTATAGAGCTAGAAAAATAATAATAAAATTCATCTGGAAGGACAAAAGGTTGAGAATATCAAGGTGATCAATGGGAAAAAAATTTGTGAAGGAAGGTGGCCCAGCTGTACCAGACCTAAACCGTATTACAAAGTAGTAACCATTGAAACAATCTGTTACTGGCTAAGAAACAGAGTGTCAAATCAGTGGAATAGATTACGTACATAATACAAAGTAGTAAAGGACCACAGTAATTGTTTGATAAATGCAAAGATCCAAACTTTTGGGACAAGAATTCATTATTTGACAAAAATTGCTAGGAAAACTGGAAAATAATATGGCAGGAACTAGGTATAGACCAACATTTCACACCCTGTACTAAGGATCAAAATGGGAACATGATTTAGACATAAAGGGTCATACCATACACAAATTAGGGAAGCAAGAAATAGTTTACCTCTCAGATCTATGGAGAAGGGAAGAATTTATGGTTAAATAAGAGATAATATCACAGGATAAAATGGACAACTTTAGTTACATTAAATTAAAAAGGTTTTGCACAAAGCAGCCAAGATTAGAAGGAAAGCAGGAAATGGGGGCAGGGAGGGGGATCATAACAAGTTTCTTTGATAAAGGCCTCATTTCTCAAATATTTACATAATTCATTCAAATTTATAAGAATACAAGTCATTCTCCAATTAATAAATGGTCAAAGGATATGAACAGTGTTTTCGGACAAAGAAATCAAAGCTATCTATAGTCATACCAAAAAATGCTCTACATTGCTATTGATTAGATCAATGCAAATTGAAACAACTCTGGGGTACCACCTCACACCTGTCAGATTGGCTAATATGACAGAAAAGGAAAATGATAAATACTGAAGGGGATATGGGAAAACTGGGACATTAATGCACTGTTGGTGGAGCTGTGAACTGATCCAACCATTCTGGAGATCATTTTGCAACTATGTACAAAGGGCTATAAAACTGTGCATACCCTTTGACTCAGCAATGTGATTACTAGGTCTATATCCTGAAGAAATTTTTCAAAAAGGGAAAAAGATCTACATGTACAAAAATATTTATGCTCTTTCTGTGGTGGCAAAGAACTAGATATTGAGGGGATGGTTGTCAATTGGAGAATGGCTGAACAAGTTGTGGTAAGTGATTATGATGGAATACTACTGTGCTATAAGAAATTATAAACAGGATGTTTTCAGGAAAACCTGGAAAAACTTTAATGAACTGAAGCAAAGTGAAGTGAGCAGAGCCAGGAGAACATTTTACACAGTGACAGCAATACTATATGGTGATCATCTGTGAATTATTTGGCTATTTTTAGTAATACAATGATCCAAGAAAATTCTGAAGGACTTATGATGAAAAATGCTCTCCACTTCCAGAGAAAGAATGGATAGAGTTTGAATGCAGATGAAGCATACTTTAAAAACATTTTCTTTGTTGTTTTTGTATTTTTTGGTCTATGTTTTCTTTCACAACATGATTAACATGGAAATAAGTTTTGCATGACTATACATGTATAACCTATATCAAATTGCTTGCCTTCTCAATGAGAGAGAAGTAATGGGGGGAAGAGAATTTAGAATTCAAAATTTTTAAAAATGAATGTTAAAAATTGTTTTTTCACATAATTGGAAAAAATAAGATATTTTAATTTTTAAAAGTTGCTTGTTTTCATGTTGACTTAGGACAGGAATAAACATCAAGGAAACAAATTAAATTGCAAACTTCACAATATTATTTTAAGCATAACCATATACAAAGAGCTTAGGGGGACAATACTAGGAAATTCTAATAATGCAAACTTCCCATCTCCACCCCATACCACCTGCATTTCAATCATTAACCTCATCTCCCTCACACAGGAACCATGGCTGGGACATGAGACTCTGATAGGTGAGCTTTCTGTTTATGTTGTTCTATCAGGGGTGATACCTTGGGTGCAACCTTTTGACTGAGTCCAAGTTTTACAGAACAAATCCTTTTATTAAGGGAATTTGTTCTGTGAAGTTTGGATTAAGTCAAAAGGCTGCACTTGAGCATCTAGAGGGCCGCATATGGCCTCAAGGCTGCAGGTTCCTCACCTCTGTGACTAAACCGAGCCTCCATGCCACTTTTGGCCATCTCCTGAAACAGAGGTTTTTACTAGGAGTAAAGCTAATTACCTTCTCCCTCCAAAAATTCTAGAAATATCTCTAACTTCCAGGTAAAAGGTATTTTGTAAAGGTCAATTATCAAAACTACAATACAACATTACCAATTATTCTACATTCCCATACAACCTAAAGAAAATGGGTTGACATTTCATAGGAATAATGATACTAAAACAGGAAATAAAAGAAAGCATCACATCAGAGCACCACCACAAAGATCCACAAATCTAAAGTGTTATCTACAACAGATGCTCACACAGTTGTATATGAAATTCACGATTCCAGATCTGCAAGAGACTTCAAAACTCATCAACATACCTGACAAACGGATAAGTAAAGAAAGGGGTGTGATGGAGGCCTTGTGGTTTAGAGCAAAAGGCACAGAACTTGGAGACAAAAAGGCCTAGTTTCTTTTTCAAATTTCCCCAAAAATCTTAATGAGGCTAGGAGAAAGACAGAGAGTGAGAGAGAGAGAGAGAGAGAGAGAGAGAGAGAGAGAGAGAGAGATCACATCAATATGCAAAGTAGAACAGAGAAGGTTATGTTTGAAATGGTGAGTTTCTATTACCCCTTGCTTTTAAAAAATATTTAAAAATTCAACATTTACTTTCAAAGCTGTCTTTGTCTATGGTTCTTTCAATTTCCCTTCTTTCTCTATTGTGCACTTTTAAAAAATGCTTCAATGACCCTCTTTTATCTTTTTTTTTTCTTTTTGGCAGCATCTGCATTAGCTCCTCTGTCTCTCCCCACAAAAAGAAAATCACAATCCTTATAACAAACAAGCATAGTCAAGCAAAACAAATTCACACATCTTCCTTGTTCAAAAGTGTATCTCATTCATCACCTTGGGTCCATCACTATGGCAGAAAAAATGAAAAGCAAGACACTGAGGAGAAAATGGGTAGTGAAGAAGAAGAGGCATACATACCCTTTTCAATAACTTTAGAATAGCAAAGAGCCGGACAGCTAAATAAATGGGGGAAAACCATTCATCAAACATTGTCAGGCATTGTAATAAGCACTAGATCCAGAGATACAAAAGGAAAAAGCAAGACCATTCCTGTTCTCAAGGAGATTAAATTCTTTTGTATTTATTTTTCTTAATTTTTTAAAAAAAAGTCTCAGCTAACAAGCAGCAAATAAAGCATTTCATATGCAAAGCAGAACAGAAATAGAAGATTATACATGAAACAGTGATTCTCTATTACAAACAACTGTTTTTCCTTTTAAATATAAAATAAATTCACATGTAACTTTCAAGCTGTCCTACTTGTCTCTGCTTCCTTTTGACCTTCCTTCTGTTCTCTTCTGTGCATTAAAAACAAAGTGCTTCAAAGATCCTGGCTCTTTTTTTCTTTATTATCAGCTGTGATAAGGCAGGGCTTCTACTCTGCCCCCCTCAAGTAGGTTAGACTAATTCTTTTCCTAAAAGCCAAGGAAGCTGTTTCCAAGACTTTACTAACTCAGGAAGCTAAGACTCAAGCTTAACAATTAGGTAATTGTTGAAAGCAGCCTAAAGCCACCTGGAAGACATGGCTTCATTCAGATTCAGGCCCCCTCAGACTTGGTGGCTATCCCAAGCCTGAACCAGTCACCACACTCTGCCTTGCTAACCAGACAAATTTCTGTAAAGAAGCAAAGGAAGCCTCATTTAAGTAAATGAGGCTTCCTTTGCTTCTTCTTAAGTAATTTTTTTTTCTTTTTTGCTTCTTCTTAAGTAAGGAGAATTCTGTATCTTTTTGAATACCCTTTGTACAGAACTAAGTAAATCTAACTGTTGAATGACTTATGAGTGTCTCACTTCACTGCAACACCAGACCCAAACTACCAGGGGAACTAGCCCAAGCCAGATCCAGCATGCTACAGCAACTCTATCGCTCACCTCCTCCATCTGGACTCTCACTTCTTCCTGCTGCTGCTGCTGAGTCCTTTCAGTCACATCCAACTCTTCAGGACCCACTTTGAGATTTTCTTGGCAAAGATACCAGAGCAGTTTGCCATTTCCTTCTCTAGCTCATTTTGCAGGTGAGGAGTTGAGGCAAATTAGTTTAAGTGACTTGTCCAGGGTCACACAGATTTGAACTCAAGATGATGAATCTTCCTGTCTTCAGGCCCAGCACTGTATTCACTGAGCCAGCTAACTGCCTCTCCCTGTCTCCAATCTCCCACGACTGACCAAGAGAAAAGAAAAACATTATAACACGTCAGCATAACTAAGCAAAAGTTTCCACAATGATCACTTTTGATCCTACACCTTGAGTCCATCACCTGTCCAGAAATGGGCAGCATCATTAATCATTAGTCTTCTGGGACTTTCAAAGGTTTGTTGTTGCTGTCATTTCACAGTGTTGGTATCGCATAAATTGTTGTCTCGGTTCTGCTCACTTTGCCCTTGAGTCAGTGTCTTATGACACAATAATATTCCATTACATTAAGACAAAAACATAAATTCAGAAGAACATAACAACATGAAGACAGATAAAAGCAAAACTTCAAAGAAAAACTGCTTAATTAGACACAAGCCCAACAAGAATTCCTGGAAGAATTAAAGAAAGAATAAGACTGGTAAAGGAAAAATTGGGAAAGGAAATGAAAGTGATGCAACAAAATAATGAAAAGGGATTTTAACAGATTGGCAAAAGAATGAAAATTCACTGAAGAAAAGAACTCCTTAAAAATCAGACTTGGGGGGCAACTAGGTGGTGCAGTGGATAGAGCTCTGGCCTTGGAGGCAAAGGAACTGAGTTCAAATTTGGTCTCAGACACTTGACACTTCCTAGCTGTATGACCCTAGGCAAGTCACTTAACCCCAATTGCCTCACCAAAAAAAAAAAAATCAGACTTGGCCAAATGGAAAGAGGTAGAAAAATTCACTGAAGAAATAATTCCTTAAACATTAAAATTGGGCAAGTGGAAGCTAATGACTCCATGAGACCACAAGAAACAATAAAACAAAATCAAAAGAGTGAAGAAAAAATAGAAGAAAATGTAAAATGTCTCATTAGAAAAGTAATTGACCTAGAAAATAGATCAAGGAGAAATAATTTAAGAATTATTGGACTACCAGAAAACCTTCATTAAAGAAAGAGCCCAGACATTAAAATATTAAGGAAAACTGCTCTGATATCTTTGATCCAGAGGGTAAAATAGAAATCGAAAACCTTTACCAATCGCCTCCTGAAAGAGATCCCCAAAGGAAAACTCCTAGGAATGTTATAACCACATGCCAGAGCTCCCCAGTCAAGGAGAAAATACTGCAAGCAGCTAGAAAGAAACAATTCAAATATCATGGCACTACACTCAAGATCACACAAGGTGTAGCAGCTTCCATGTTAAAGGAGTGGAGGGCTTGAAAGGGGATGTTCTGGAGGAAGGCAAACGAGCTGCCCAGCCAAACTGAGTACAGTCTTTCAAGGGGGAAATAGACATGAAATGAAATAGAGGACTGTCAAGCATCCCTGCTGGAAAAAACTAGAGACGAACAGAAAATACGACGTTCAAGCACAAGACTCAAGAGAAGCATAAAAAGGTAAATACGAAAGAGAAATCACAAGGGGCTCAATAAGGCTGAACTGTTTCATTCCTACGTGGAAAAATGATACGTGTAACTCCTAAGAATTTCATCATTAGCAGAGCAGTTAGAATAAGTGCACAAGTATGAGTCAATTATGTTAGGGCGACCTAAAAAAATGAAGGGGTAAGAAAGAGGGATGTACTAGAAGATGGGGAAAGAAGAAGAAAATGAAGGGGCAGCGAGGTGGCGCGGTGGATAGAGCACCGGCCCCGGAGTCAGGAGGATCTGAGTTCAAATCCAGCCTCAGACGCATAACACTCACTAGCTGTGTGACCCTGGGCACATGTAAGGCTGCTTACTGGAGCCTTACAAAGAACGATGGTACAGTCTCTTCTTAGTAACCCATTTCCACTGTCCACTGCATTAGTCCACCATATTTTAGGGTTCAGACATCTCGTACACAGAACATTGTACACGGTAACAACAACATCGTCACAATGATCAACTGTGAAAGACTTAGCTACTCTGAACAAAACGATGATCCAAGACAATTCCTAAAGACCCATGATGGAAAATGCTATCAACCTCCAGAAAAAGACCTCATTAACTCTGAATGCAGATCAAAGCATACTTTCCATTTCATTCATTTTTCTTGCTTTTTTTTTCAACATGGTTAATATGAACTTATGTTTTGCAGGACATCACAACAATAACTGATAACATGTTACTTGTCTTCTCAATAGGTGGAAAGGGACAAGAAGGAGGGAGAGAATTTGCAACTCAAAAAAATTTTTAAACGAATGCTAAAAATAAATGAATAAAAAAAAGAAGCACTAAGGGCTCAGCTGAGATTATGTACTATTAATTATGTGACATGCAAAATCAGATTGATTTTACAAACTTCCTCCAGATACATTCAACAGCCTGAAATGGAAATGGCATAATTGTAAAGGGATGAGGACAAAGTTAGGAATGGTGGAAGTTCCAGGACAAAGGATTCACAGCAGTAGCAAGTGAGGCATCAGAGTGAAAACCTATCTAGACAAGGCTAGTTATAGAAGCCACATGGTTGGGGAATATTGGAAGAAGAGAATAGTTCAGGGAACCAAAGGTCATGATAAGGACTAAAAGTCAGTCAATAAACACTTATTAAGTGCCTACTATATGCTAAGCACTGTACTAAGGACTGGGGTTACAAAGAAAAACAAAAAACAGCCTTCAAGGAGTTCACAATCTAGGAAGAAACAACAAGCCAACAAATATGTACAAACCAGCTATATAAGCTATAAATAAGAAAAAAAGAATGGAGGGAAGGCACTAAAATCAAAAGGAATTAGGAAATGCTGAGAGATGGAGCATCTTGTTTGAGGAACAGTGAGAAGGCCACTGTCTCTGCATTAAAGAGTAGTGTGAGGGGCAGGGGAAGGTGTAAGAAGATTGGACAGTGGGGTGAGAAGGAAGAGGTTAAGAAGGGCTTTGAATGCCAAATAGAGGAACAGGTGTATAGTTAAGTGAGATGGTTTGAGTTTATGAGATTGCAAAATGAAAATAGCATATGAAAGAGGAAGACGGGAGAGGGGGAGGGAGGGGGGGAAGAAGAGAGTGTTTCTAAGGCAATGATATCCACTTATCCAAAAGTGAATTCATAATAAGCATATCTTTTTTTAAACTGAATGTCGGGGTGGGGGGGATGTGTGTGTGTTCTGTGTATGCACATATATACATACATGCATATATGTATAGATACATATATACACATATTGCTTTTCTTTGAATGTACGAAAGTGCTGTTGTGATAAATTCGCTTAAATGTTAAATAATTCAGAATAATTTTGTTATATTTGGGGCTAGGCAATGGCGTTAAGTGACTTGCCCAGGGTCACACAGCTATTAAGTGTCAAGTGTCCTCCTAACTCCAGGATTTGAACTCAGGTCCTCCTAACTCCAGGGCTGGTACTTTATCCACTGCGCAACCTAGCTGCCCCCATATTTTCTTAATGGATATTAATTATACAACTATCACGCAAAAGTCCGCAACTGTTTTCTTAAAAAGGCCTCATCTTCAAGATGATTAGAATTATTTTTGTAAGGAATTGAAGAATTGCAATGTAACATAACTATAGCATAACAGTTAGCAGAGACTTTACCATTTCTCCCTCATAGCTAGATAAATGCAACAAAAGGATAACCGAAAAGGAAAATAAAGAACTGAATAAACTGTTGAAGAATTCAGATATAAAAGACTTATAGTATCTTCTGAATGGGAATATAAAAGAGTATGTTTCTCACAAATACATGGCAGCTTCACAAAAACCAATCATGTCTTAGGGCAGAGGTATAAAACAAATGGGCACATTCCCATGTGAGGCTCAAACCAGACTGAAATATAATTGGAAAATATTTAACAAAATAAATAAAAATACAACAAAATATAATGTTTTTATATGGTTTCCATGTCAATATGCACCCAGAGGAATCCTCATGTCTGATTTAGTGGCTCTCATTTCAATTTTAGTTTGACACTTTACTCTAGGGCACAGAGAAACTGAAAATATATTTTAAAAACCAGAAATATTAAACACATCTTTTATATACCATAATCCAACAAAAATAATAATTAAGATACAAGGAAAGATAAATGGAGAATTAATAATGACATAACTATAAGTCTTTTACATCTAAATATGTAATTTCTTTATTTTATTTTATTTATTAATTTACTTTGATTTATCAACAATCACTTCCATATGCTTTTGAGTTGAAAATTTTTCTCCCCCTTCCTCCCCCCCACCCTCCCCAAGATGGCGCACAATCTGATATAGGCTTTACATTTACACTCCTATTAAACGTATTTTCACATTAGTGAAGTTGTAAGTAAAAATTAAAACCAATAGGAGGAACCATCAGAAAGATGAAACAAAACTCAACAGAATGTTAAAAATAAGTGATAGCAATTCAACTTCTATAATTCTTTCTTTGGATGTGGACAGCATTTTCCATCCCGAGGCCTCTAGAGATGTCTTAGATCCTTCTAAGAAGTGTTCAGTTTAACAATATTAGTCATCGCATAATGTGGCTGTTACTGTGTACAAAGTCCTCTTGGTTCTGCTCACTTCACTCAGCATCAGACCATATAAGTCTTTCCAGGTTTTTCTGAAGTCAGCCTGTTCATCATTTCTTATTGCACAATAGTATTCCATTACATTCATATACCACAACTTGCTCAGCCATTCCCCAATTGATGGGCATCCTCTCAATTTCCAATTCTTTGCCACCACAAAAAGAGCTGCTATGAATATTTTTGTACATGTGGGTCCTTTTCCCATTTGTTTGATCTCTTTGGGATATAGCCCTAGAAGTGCTATTGCTGGATCAAAGGGTATGCACATTTTTGTAGCCCTTTGGGCATAGTTCCAAATTGTTCTCCAAAATGGTTGGATCATTTCACAACTCCACCAACAATGT